GCGCGCCCACACACACACACACACACACACACACACACACACACACACACACACACACACACACACACACACACACACGGCTTACTGCAGTGATCTGCAAGCAGGATGCCACAGTACCCTGTGGTGATGTGAGATCCTTTTAAGGATACTGTGGGGTACCGTACAATATTAGCACTGTTAGGTGCGCAGACATCTATATGTGATTCACAAAATCAGTGGTGTTCAATCTTTTGGGGCCACAGGTCAGATCCTCCACATGGAGTCAGTCCATGGGCTGGATACAGCACAGGATCAGCATGCCACATCTGACCATGCACCGACCCAACCCCATGTAACTAATCCAGCCATGTGCTGGCTTGACTGCATGCCAGCTTGGGTACATGCCAGCTCAACCCTAAGCTTCAGGGCAGGGCCATATCAACTGGCTTAGCCAACAACTCTGGAAATTTGGAAGCAGGGGAGTGGCAATTAAAACTGCCATAGTACCTCTGTTTCCAAATTTTTGGATCCCTGGAGAGACCCATGGGCTGAATGACATTGTCTCATGGGCCAGATCTGGCCTGCAGGCCAAACAGGTTGAACACCACAGCACCAAGAGAAACACAGAGATTTCAAAAAGGAATCCATGGTATCAAAAACATTCTGACCTGAGTTTTTGCAATGGAATTGTGCTATTATTTTTTTATAGTCAAATCAAGTGGAAGCTAAGAGCTAGTATTTTCCAAGGGGTTCCTTGAGCCTAAAAAGATGCAGAAACACTGGTCTACAGGAATATTTGTTTTTTGTTCCTTTCTATGTGAGTAATAATGTACAGGGTGCAGTGGCAGCCCAGAAAATACAGCTTAGCATGAATAACCATGCCATAGTCTTAGGCTAAGTACAGACATTCAAAAAGCCAGAAGCAGAATTGATCCAATCTATGCAGATTTCTCTAAGATGTGAAGATTGGATCTGAAGCAAACGGAAGTCACATTTGCCCTTTGGTGGGGGGAGGCAGGCAGATGCCTGCAGTGGCAGAGGCCAGAAGACTGGGGGCACTTTTGCACACCTCCCAGCATGCTGGACATTGCTGTGGGCAGCACAGCACTGCCAAACAGCTGTACCATCCCACACCCGTTGTCAGGCACACACCTCCCTCCGCAACCCTATCATGCCAGACAACTCTCAACTGCAAGTACCCTGCAGAGGGAGGTGTACTCACCCCTGCTCAGCGGCATACAGGCCCTTGGGCTTCGTCCACAGTGGAGGGCCTGGGGGTCAATCCTAGGCAGGACAGAGGTGAGGGTAGGGGAGAACAGGGCTCATGAGGTACTGGAGGGAAGCGGTGCCAGCGACATACCCCACATTCCTGGCTAAGTCAGTGGGGCATAGTGTCCCTGCCCTGTCCTAAGCCCCAGAACCTTGCACTGGAGTGGTTCCGGGAAGAGCCAAGAGGATTTCTCCCCACTCCCCCATCCCCCGCTGCCAAGCCAGCTCCAAGTTCCCAGCTGAAGCTTCTTCCTCCTGTACAGCCATGGGGCTCTGGTCCATGGGGGAGGGAGCACACGTGCCCTTGTGGCTGCAGCACTTGGCGGGGATGATTCCAGTGCAGGAACAGGGGCTGCAGTCCAGGGAGCTGGGTAAGCCCCTGCCCAGTCCTGCCTACCACTGCTGCCGACTGCTGCTGGCTGAGTCAGCTTAGCTCCGGTGGGTCCATTTTCCAGGGGCGTTTGTCAGCTCAGTCCAGGACAGGAACCTACTTCACCCTCCTCCCTCCCTCTCCTCTGCCTCCCCAGTTTTGGCACTAGAACTATCCCCCATCAGACATTGCAACCTCAAGGGCATGGTTGACAGCCCCCTCCCCCCCATGGACCAAATCATCAGCTGCACAGGAGGAAGTGGCTTTGGCCACTTCCTGGAGCTGGTCCAGCATGCAGTCCCAGGACATGGGACAGGAGAGGGACTCTCTGTGCCCTGCCAACCCAGCTAGGAATGTGGGGTGCACTGCCGGCACCACCTCCCTGACAGCAGATCATAAGCTCCATTCCCCTCCCAGTCATGCCTGTGGCTAACTGAGAGCTCAGAGGAAGGGCCAGCTAGGTGTTCAGCTGGAGCAGCCAAGCCACAGCTCCCTGCGAGGGGGACTAGTGGGAGCTCGCAAAGTCCCCTGGGATACTGGTAGACAGCACCCTACCTTGATTCTCGAACGGACCTGGCACTGATGTTCAATAGATCAGTGTAACTTAGATCAATCCAGGTCTATCTTAGACCAGGTTTCACCATTTTTAAAGCAATCTGTATGAACCAAATTTCTGTTCTGTTACTGGTACAGACTGATTTACAACCACCTAAACAAGAAACAGTGCAATGCCTGTACCGGGCCTTAACTGTTTAAAATGAAAGTAGCTGCTCTGTGCAGGACAGTGCAAAGGAGCCCTTCACTGAGACCTCAAATGTTGGGGCTGAGATTCTCCTTGGGTTGTTAAGATCCACCTAATTAGTAAAATCAATCCCTGTTATCTTTCCAAGGGACTATTCTAGTTAGTAAAAATGTTTTTGTTTGAAACTGTTCTCCTAATGTATACTGGCTTTTATTCTAAAATAAACATTTTGAGGAAAATTTTAACATTTAAAAAGATACTTTCTTTTTTAACGAAAAAATGAAAATGGAATTTTTCAGGAATTGTATTTTTCTGCTTCCTCCACCTTTCTTTACTAGAAAAATAGGAAAAGGAACAATCAGAAGGGAAGTAGAAAAATAGGGGCGTGAGTAAAAGAAAAAAGGGAGAAAGGCGAGATCTATACTATGAAACTTAAACATTTCCATTT